TAATATGTAACCACCATATGAATCGATCAAAACTGCATAGGCTTGTGCACCAATATGCGCAGCTGGACACATGAGCAAAGCAACTCCAAAAACGAAACACATTGTTGATTATTACTCTGACGTGTTCTAAAGGGTAACAAACCTTCCTTTTTTGGATCTAGTACCGAGAACAACCACAGGAAATTTGGAGTCCTAATTTTTTACGCACACAACAGCAGCTTGTGTAGATGGTAAATCAGACATTTAGTAAATCTGATCGACCACAATAAACACCAAACCAATCTATTGGCCAAACCAACTTTATCACTAAGATATATATATTTTTTATTCAGCTAGCAAAGAAGACTGACACTAGACCAAGACTAATTAACCAACGAACACAATGACATGCGAGGGACGACCGTTCAACAAAGCAAACTGAAATTAAAAATATTGCAAGGCACAGAGGGGCTGTAGGATATGGAATATGTGGCAATGTATATAATTTTGGCATTTTTTGGACTATAGGTAATGCAAAAACATTAACAATCAAAAGGGAAAAACAAAGTTATACCTAACGGGCAACAAGGTCTCTAATACCACTTGATGTAGACAAGGCCCGATCTTCCGAAAGGTATGATAGGGTCGATTGGTGGAGACTCGACGTTCATGATCTAGGCTTCGAACCAAGACTGATTCGGACCCCCATAACCGTTACACCACTGCTCCGTTGGTTATCAACCACGCGAACGCGATTGACCTCACCGAGAAGGCTTTTCTGCAAACGAATCGAGAACAAAAGTAAGAACGGGATGAACGCAATCTGAAATTACAAATAAATATGAGACTTATGATAACAAGAAGGAGGTCAAGTCTTTATTCAAAAGGACTAATCACCACAGGCGAACAAGATCAAGAATTGGGGCCCTGGTTCACAGCAAGCAGCCTTCGCGACACAGTTGCAGTAAAACGACGTCTGTTTTACGAGGAAATCAAGAACTAAACAAAACACAAACCCTAAAGAGAGCGATGGCTGCTAATTATAGAGCCCCGGATGTCACCCCCCTAGACGCGCCCCCTAATGGGCTCTAAGACGATACACGGCCCAACGGACCAAAAGACGGTGTCGCAGCACCGTGGCAGATTCTGGACGCTGACTTGTTTCGATGATTCCCATTGATTACAAAGGGATTTTGACATGAGACCACTTGCATTGGCTTCCTTGTCTAATTAGCTTTCCATACATATGTGGATCGTCGAAAACTAAGCCCGAACGCGCCCGTGTGACCAGTTTTATGACAGACTGGTCCTGGAACCCGAGATGGGCTCGAACTTGATTTGGGCCTCCACCTTGGTGACTCGAACCGGATGAGCTTCGGGCCTCCTTCTCGGTTAGGACACCCTCGTTGATCTCCTCGTCCTCTATCTCCAAGCATGGTTGTATGTATGGAGCTCATGTCCTTATCAGATGTGGTCCCGGATCTTCTTCTTGTCCTTCTCCGGAACGCCCTACTTCCTCCACGACTCCGGGGCCTCTTCGATCAGGCGTCCGGTGAACTCCGGCAGAGGGGCGACAATGTCGTTCTTGAGGTAAAACCACTACGAATGCCATGCCTTGTTGGACGTTGATAGCTGCATCGGTGGGTACTCGCCGACCCGGTTGTTCCGGGGTTGGATGCCGGCGCACCCCATCGGCATGTGCAGCCCCTGCCTGCCGCTCTTCTCCCTCTTCTTCTAGAGGGTGATGGCAAACAAGTACCTCCATAGATCGAAGTGGGGGCTGATCCCTAGGAATCCCTCGCACAAGGCGACGACCGCTATCATGTGCTGGATCCCGTTAGGGTTAAGATGTTGCAGCTCGATCTTGTAGTAGTGCAGCAGCCCTCGGAGAAATTTGTGGGCGGGGGTCGTGAACCCACGCTCATGAAAGTGGGCGAACGACACCACATAGTCATCGGGCGCGCACGGTAGATCCTCCTCACCGGGCAGCAGCCACTCCTCGGCCGAGGTTTAAGCGCGGAGAAGACCACGACGGACGAGGCCTTCCATGCGTTGGAAGGTGATTTTGGAGCGGCACCATGGATACATTGGAGGTGGGGCGAACGGATGCGAGCTCGATGGTGATAGGGATGCGGAGGCAGGAAACCTAAGTGATTGGCGGCGATGGTCATGGCTGCGGAGGCAAAGATGCAAAGTATGGAACCCTAGGGGCGAACCCTTTGGTTTTATAGGGGTGACGGGTGTGAGGAAACCAACCAACCGCCTAGATCTTCGCGCCTGCCACGATCTGCCACCACATCTCGCCGTGGGATGTGCACACGCAATATCCATCTGTTCCCTTAGAAAACTCGCCGGACGTTTCGCCTCTCCGGACGGGCCACGACTCATCACAAGTAAGAGGAATACGGATCTAAAAACACCTCTACGGCTAAGCTGGGCCTAGGAGTTCGTAGGTCGGCCCATCGATAGGTTTGACATCCTCTCCATGCACCATTAGGGTGAGAGGTGGAAAGGGATGGGCCCCGCTAGTGGCCAGTACCCGGGCACAAAAGCACTGTGGGCATCCTGGCCCACGATCGAGTCTCGGTCGGTTACGATCCATGGTTTTTCTTTGAAGAAAGGTACTTAGCCCTCGGGACCGGTCGAACGGACCCGAGAACCATATGAATTGACCGCTAAGAGTTTGGGGCCAATCGCCAAACTAACCCGAGCCAGATCCCCATGAACGGGATGCCAGGGGTCCCACTCAGACTAGCCCATTAACAGCTCACCGGGTGCCTCAATTCGTCTTTAGAAGAAAATCATGGCACGGCTCGACCCCTCTGTTCTTATTAGAAAAAGCGCTTGAGGGAAGACGATCACAAAGATGAACCAATCCTCGACCATGCCCCTGCTATGGGAGGGGGCTCGAGGAAAGGGAATCACCGCCCCCAGGTCACGCTGTGGGCAACAAAAGAGGGCCAAGGCCCTCAGAGTCCTCCCATTCAGAAAAGCCTCTGAAGGAGTATTCTACTCCCTCCGTAGGCTCGGGAGCTACTATCGAGGACCAATACTAGGGTACTCGTAGATGAGCTAATAACCATCAACATTGGTTTGTCCAAGCAGTCAAGAGCGCGACTACAGCTCCAACCGACCACTAGGTGGGCAAACTTCGCTTCACCCGACCCCTGAGGGTTGGCTCCGCCTCGCCCGACACCGAAGCCGCGGGCTCTGCCTAGCTTGACCCCTGAGGGTGGCTCCGCCTCGCCCAATACTGAGGCCACGGGCTCCGCCTCGCCTGACCCCTAAGGGATGGCTCTGCCTCGCCCGACACCGAGGCCGTGGGCTCCGCCTCGCCCGACACTGAGGTCGCGGGCTCCGCCTCATCCGACCCCTGAGGGTGGCTCCGCCTCGCCTGACACCGAGGCCACAGGCTTCGCCTCGCCTGACCCCTGAGGGCTAGCTCTGCCTCGCCCAACACCGAGGCCACGGGCTTCACTCACCCGACCCTTGAGGGCTGGATCCGCCTCACCCGACACCGAGGCCGTGGGCTTCGCCTCGACCGACCCCTGAGGGTGGCTCTGCCTCACCCGACACCGAGGCCGCGGGCTCCGCCTCGCCCGACACCGAGGCCACGGGCTCTGCCTCGCCCGAGCCTTGGGTTTGCACTCCGCCTCACCCAGCCTCTGGGGAGGAACTCCGCCTTGCCCGACCCCGAGACCGGGGGCTCCGTCTGGCCCGACGGAGACCCATACCGTCGTCGACCACTCCAGGTCCAAGCGTATGGACCTGGGTCAAAGCTCTAATACCAGGGAGGTGACCGGCTCGCCCCGATATAACCCGTGGCCGTGACGGGACCATACCTGAGGATTCACATCAGGAATAGTGTCGGGCAAACCGGTGCTGTTCTGCCTAACCCTTGTACGAACACTGACAGGCGCGTCAGTTTGCCATGACGTCCGTCAGGATGAAGTGGAGCGCCATGATCGGGAGACGACGCCTGTGCATGGTGCTAGTGAAGGACAGGGCCACGACGTGAAGCTGTCCCTGTTGACGTCTACAAGGTCGGCGAGACCCGCATGGAAGAGAAGAAGGATCCGGCGATCTTGGAGGACTTCTTCTCCTTCTAATTCTTCTTTTTCCCTCCGCTGTAACTCGCGCTTTCCCTTGGCCTATAAAAGGGAAAGCAGGGCATCCCATCAGGGGGCATCGGACCAACGATCGTAACACATCGCATTGAACCATCGGACTCGAATATGATCGATCCACCAAACCCCGAACACACAGCCAAGCAGCGATCGAGCTCTCGGCATCCATTCGTTCTTTCCATCAGAGACTTGGGACATGTCCCTCTCTCGACCGTTTGTAACCCCTATTATGAACTTTCAATGCTAGTAACACGAGCAGCAGCAATGAACTGGATGTAGGGATGTTCTGCCCGAACCAGTATAAATCTCGTGTCCTCTTAGCACACCATCCAAGCCAGACGCGTAATATTAGAAATTTAGGTGGCAACTCGAAACAACGACAGTAATGCATTCTAAATACCCAAATATTGAACCAAGAAAACTGCATAGGAATGAAGTGTTTTGCTGTATTAGATCACAATGAAACCCAATGGTTCTCTCAAAAGTGAGAAAAAGGAAATGATATCTAATAGTATGTAATAACGCTAGCTAACACATGAAACCAACGTGTTGGAACTTAATTTCATGACTCAGAAGCATTTTACTAAAAGAATGGAGCACTGAATATAAGCATTATATACATTATAAACAACCAGGCGCTCGTTTTTAGGCTGCCAAAAACTGCTTTAACATGCTATATATGGCAACCCAGAGTAGACTGCAAAATTGCTTGACATTCTGACAGGCAAATATGTACGTCAAATGAGTAAGCTATCTTAAGACAGTGTGTACCCAACCTTGTTCATCAAGCAGCAGCATAAGCAAGAGCACCAGTACCAAGTTCGTACTAATAGTAATGGTGGGATAACCTACTCTTTCAGAGGCTAGACTTTGCATGAGCTGTGAGACTTGGTCTTATTCTGCAAAAGAAGGAAAACAGAATTTGGCACAAAGATGATAAATAAATTAAAATTTCCTTGTTGCGGTTAAGAATGAAGATATTGAAAAAGAAACAATTATAGGAATAAAGAAGAATAAGCAACAAGCCAAAAGAACCACCTCTGGATGCATGTTCCTGCTTGGTCTTGTAAGATTCATAGAGCGCAAGGGAGAAATCAGCAATGACATCTTTGAGCACAGATGCAGCAACTCTATCGAGAGAGATAGTGATGCGAGGTAGTCCCTTCGCCTTGGTAGCCACAAGCTCAGCGGTATCAGGACCTGCATACGACATCATGTTCGTGTAGAGGTAGGCGAAGACGTTCTGGTTCAGGCGTTCAGCCAGGCAGGGTAGTGAAGTGTAGGAGTAGGATGGAGAAGATATGAACTGAATACCTCGGGCGGCGGCAGGGAAGAGGAGCTGTGCCAGGCGAGGGAGTGGAGGTCGGTGGCAACGACGCGGAGGCCGCCATGGGAGTGGGAGTGGGCGCGGAAGAGCACGAGTCGGCGCGGGAGAGCATCTGCTTCGTTGTCGGATTTCTCCGGCTTGGCCTCGCCGAAGACGGCGGCCAACCTCATCTCATCGTCATCGCTGCCGGCAGGAACGAAGGAGAGAAGGCGCCGTTAACATATTACGTGACTTGCCTTTGAAAGCGTAAAGACGTGGGGACGCCTCTCCCCCTGTCCCTCTAACTCCTTGTCGTCTCTTTCTCGCTTTGGTCCTCTTCCTCAATTCCGGTGGGAAGGAACGATGGCCTCTGACTACTACGATTCCAAGTTGTTGGAGACGGCGAGGCGGCTGCTGGAGGTGACCTCCATAACTGAGGCAGAGCAGCTGCCCAGACTGCCCTCGGGGTTCTACGACGCCTTCATCCTTAGGGGAATCCGCATCGTCCAGGCCCTCCAGCCCGGCACACTCCTCTGCCATTTCACCGTCCCCTCCAGACTACTGGTCAGCCACCTTGCCGCCCCCCCCCCCCCCCCCACGAGTCGAGTTGTGTCGTCTGATTCCTGATCCCTTAGACTGAATGGTTTTCGATGCAGAATTCGGGCGGCTTCCTACACGGCGGTGCAACCGCCTCCCTAGTCGACTTGGTTGCCTCCGCCGCCTTCGCCACTGCCGGTCTCCGCACCAGGGGCTCGCCCCTTGAGATGAACATATCCTACGTTGATGCTGCTTTTGCTGATGTGAGTAACCTTGATCCCAGCTCCCCATCTTTAGTGACTACTGCTGCTACTACTACTGCTACATACTAGTACTACAGTATCAGACGCAGCATAATATGTATGTCATCTATGATCTATACGACCATACTTGGTTCATTGGTTGCACACTCTTGAAGGAATTTTCACTCCTCCACAAATTACTATGATGTAGTATAGGATAAGTGGCTGACACTTGAGACTTGACAAATTACCCCCGATTGGTATAATTGGCTGCAACAAGATGAACACAGCACAAGAGGCTCATCTAATCTTTGATGAAACGAGGCACGTGCCTCGTCCTGCCGGTTAGCCAGTGAGCCTAATAGCATGCTCTAGCATTCACACTTGGTAGGCGATGCCGATGAATAAGCAGGATTGTGTTATGTACCAATGTCATCACACCATTGTGATTTGGGAATAAGCACGTTTTCCGGTTTCTCTTATATTGGCAGCATGATGATTATCATGAGATGGGTGGATTCAAACATTTCTGTTACGAATCGTCATTGTATGTGTAATCATGATCGCACCTCCTCGATTCACAGCTTCATAGTAGCAGTGTTCTAGCGCTAAAGCCAGATTGTGTCAAGTTGTTTCCCTTTTACCTCTTTCAATTGGTATGTAGACGACGAGCAAGCCAGATTATTAATTGAGTAAATAATCGGTCTTCACCCCTGAAGTTGATTTGCTATGGATGATGATGATGGTGTTTTCGGATTTAGGGACTGATGCTGACACTGACAGGCATGAGATGCTTGGTTTCGTGTAGGAAGAGATTGATATCGAAGCGAAGGTTCTGCGCGCTGGCAAGGTAGTAGGGGTGGCCGTTGTGGAACTGAAGAAGAAATCTGGCAAAATCATCGCTCAAGCTCGCTACTCCAACTCTCCAAGTACCTTGGTGGAGCATATAGTAAACTCTGATCTGACCGAATCGAGGTGGCCTTGTGCCGTGGCAGCATGTTGTAATCTGCTGGGGTTTTTTTTTTCTTCCCTACTGGTGCTTATATTCTCACAATGCTGCCCTGAGCATATGGTATGGTAGTAGACTAGTAGGGTGTGGTGTGCTTGACAAGTGTTACTACTGTGTATATGTGACAGAAAACAGCCTCATTTCTATTTCTTTGTGCCGTGCAGATGGTATTCAGTATTATTACTCACTCGATGAGACCATCAGCTAGTTATTGTGTTTATTGTGTACTCCTACCTCTTACAGTGGACCATCTGTTATCTCTTCTGGTCCACCAGAAATGAAGGTGAATCATCGTTAGCCTGCTGGCTACACAAACATCTCTTCTGTTTTGGCAACTGCTGACTGACTACACAAACTAATAAATCAATAATAACCCGGCCAAATTAAATCAAATCTGGACAGTAGACACAAATTTGGCAATGATTCAGTAGACACCACGACTCCACGATTGAAACAGATAGTTTCGCTGGAGGTTTAATTTCAATTTACTTTTGGAAAAGAAAAAACGAGGAAAAAGGGGAAAAGGAAAGGGTTATTTAGATTCGTGTCATTATAATGTTCGATGTTTGGAGAAACGTCATTACTATTCGCTCTATTTTGAAGCATGTCATTATAATTTTTCGTTTCCCACAAATATGCCACATAATACGTATGGACACGGCCTGGGCCCAGCTGCAGGCGTATACGAAGACGTATACTTCATCACAGCCTCTCTCCTCTACACTAACATGTGGGCCCCACATGTCATCTTCTTCTTCCTTCCCTCCTCATCTTCCCTTGCTGAGCGCGTCGATGACGATGGCGAGAAGCGGCGAAGACGCTGGTCCGAAAGCGGAGCTTCGCTTGCGCCAAGCGGCTTGTGCCTTGTGCCTCGATGGCCATCTCTCTCACTCCGCCATGAGCCTACCTACCGCCCATAGCAGCCAGGCGCCGCTTCCGCGCCGCCGCCATGACTACAGGTTGCTTCAAAGAAAACATCCAAGTCCGGTTTGGCGTTCATATCCCGGCGATGGAGTTACGTCGGCGGCAGCGCAGAGGGCGCGCACCGGCCGGTATCTGGCGCAACTGGCGAAAGCACGGCCTCTGCAGGTAGCAACGGTGCGCTCCTCGGACGGGGTTGAGCGGTGACGATGTGGTTGGATCTGTGGGCGCCGTCGGAGTCAAGGCGACGCGCGGCGTCCATGGCGGCGGCAACTCAAATGCACGTAGTCGCCCATGGCGCTGCTGCCTCACCTCTACCGCTTCCATCCTCTTCTCGCTTTCTGCTTTGCTGCCGCTGCCGCTCTCGGGCGGACACCGCAACATCGGCGTCAACAACACCTCCCGCACCGACGCCATGGCTCGCCCCTCGCGCCTAGCCGCCGACGCCGCCTTCTCGCCGCCCACGCGAGCGCACGACACAACCGCATGCCGCCACACAGGCTCATGAGCTCTGCTCTCCAGGCGATGGCCATGGCCGGAGGGAGCTCCGGCTAAACCGCTCTTGACGCCGGCAACCATGGCACGCCGTTCACACACTCTCCACCGGTTAAAATGCCGCGGCTCCGCTGCAAGCTTCGGACACCACCGCAGCAGCTCTCCCTCGCGCTCGAGCCCAGCCTCATCTTGCCGCCCGACGCCATGGCCGCCGGAGCTCCGGCGAGCCTCTCCCGAGACGCCGATGAGCAAAGGCCCGCGGCGCCCTCGCCACCGCCGCCCGCGCTTCGCTTCGCCTCCGTCGCCATCGGGACGCCACGCAGCGGCTTCGCCCTCACGCTTTCGCCCGGCCAGGTTACGTGCTCTCGTCTGTTTGCCAGTTCACCTCACGCCCCGCCACGAGCTCCGTGCGCCACGTCCTCCGAACGCCGCCCAGGCCGCGAGCTCCACTCGGCCGCATGCTGCTGCTGCTTCTTCTCGCCATCGCCATCGACGCGCTCAGCAAGGGAAGATGAGAGAAGAAAGAAGATGACATGTGGAGCCCGCGTGTCAGTGACAGGGGAGAGAGGCTGTGATGAAGTATACGTCTTCATATACGCCTGCAGCTGGGTCTAGGCCGTGTCCATATGTATTCTATAGCATATTTGTGGAAAACGAAAAATTATAATGACATACTTTAAAATAGACGAATAGTAATGGAGAAAATTGCTATTATAGGACGCGAAACAATGGGCTTCGCTATTTTAGGACTTCAATCATCGACTTTGTTAAAATGACCTCTGAAACGTTGTCTTCTTATTTTAGATGACAATTGACATATTTCTTCCCTTTATTAATCAAAATACATGTATTTTAGCCTTCTTGTGACCCTTCTACCCTTCTGCTTTTATATCGTAGGTCGATCGTACCAATTCATCAACCGACGTTCCTCCTTTCCCGACGCCGCCCTAAGCACCGACGTCGACGTTCCTTTTTTCCCCTCCTCCCGACGCCGCCTAGGAAGCCGCGCGCTTTTGCAAGAGCCAAGGACTGCAAAGCCTGCAGCAGCCACGGCCGTCGCCGTCGCCGATCGGTCAGCCGTGGTCGCGATGATGGGGACATGACGACCGTCGATCGACGGCGACGCGCAATGCCATCCATCCGGTATGTTTCGCTTTTTTTTGTTTTTCGAGAGAGATCGATTAGTCCAATGTTGCTGACCTAGCTAGCTAGCACTCGCCTAGGACGTCCAGCACTTACCTGACACGTCTAGCACGAGATCGATTAGTCCAATGTTGCTGTCAGATTCTAGCTATCATCACTTTCGCCTAGGACGTCCAAAGACTTGCACGACACGTCTAGCACGAGATCGATTAGTCCAATGTTGCTGACCTAGCTAGCTAGCACTCGCCTGACAAGTCTAGCACTCGAGTTTAATTTCAATCTGTGTAAATATATATAATTCTAACATGTCGGCTTCTGTTTGGTTCCTGACTTTGCTTTTTATTATAAGGTGATGATAGCATAGTAAAATTAGTTGGTGGAGTCTCTAAGAACACTTATTGACTATTTGTTTACGAAGTGTAAATCATTTAGCTTGGTTCCTGACTTTGCTTTTAATTTGTTTTTTCTTTTCCTGCTTTGGGATAGTCTCTTGACCGGCAGGATGTGGGAAGTACTGGTTCGTCCCCGTGTCCTTTGGTTTAAGTGAGAAGTGACTTAAGGGACTGTTTGCCATTTTTTTTTCCATGGTGGGGATTTTTCAAATAAGTCTAGTCAAGTGGAAACAGATTTAGTTGATACGATTACATGTTCATTGAATTTAGGTAGTCATACCAGATGGGTGATATGTATTGACCGGGATACAATGCTTAATATCTAAACTCATTTGTAATTTGTCTTTAGGCGTTGGCCGCCTCTCTGCAATGGCATGTTGGCAAAGCAGTGGGCGGACGCGACGATGAGAAGGTCCAAAGAAAAGGTCTCGACGAAGCCAAGAAGGCATGTCCACTGCTCTAGCCCTAGCGAGATCGCTGCTTCCAACTGCTCCTCTTCCGGTGGTAGAGTTCAACCTTCCTGTTCTTGAAGTGAAAAGGTATATATGCTTGTATGCTTTCTGTTTGTTTTTTACTACGATAGTAGTACATATTAGTTACAGTTTATTTCCCTTGTTTAGGTCCCAAATAGATCATGTGGAAAATATGGAAAGAGTTGATTGGGATACGATACAAATAGTGGAGACACATGATGACGAAGGTCGTATTGCACTTATGAGTGAGTCGCAGATTTATGAGCTTTTAGGCTTGACAGAGGAGGGCACAACAAATATACCTGCACAAAGCTTTGATTGCCGAATGGATGAAGAGGGAATGATAATGAGATTGGGCAAGATACTGATGGTGCTGCCATTCCTACTAGTGATGCCGTGCCAGGTGAGATGGTCATTTCATATGATAAGAACAACCCATCAATGGAGGTAGGAACACTATACCCAACAATGGAGGAGTTCAAGCTGGCAGTGCGGCAATTTGCCATCAATAAGGAGTTCGATTTAGGAGTAGAGAAGTCATGTAAGACGAGATATAGGGCTTTTTGCAAGTCCGGTGATGAAGATTGCCCTTGCCCTTGGAGGATAAATGGCACTAAACAAAAAGGCCAAGCCACTGTGGAGGTGAATAATTTTTTTATTATTTCATTAATTCTACTTGTTATGTAAATTAATATCAATCTCATTGATTTTTTATTTTGCAGGTAACCGTCTTAGTCGATAAGCACGAGTGTGTGTCCAGCATGAGGCAGATAACTACAACTTCAAGTTGCAAGTGGGTAGCTAGCAAGGCTGTGAGTATCCTTAGAGCTGATCCAAATATTGGTGCTAAGGAATTGCAAAAGAAGTTGGAGACAGATCACAAGTGTCAAATTGCATATGACACTATATGGCGGGGTAAACAAAGAGCTCTTGAAGAGGTTTATGGTAAATGGGAAGAGAGTTTTGAGCTATTATTTAGGTAGAAGGCCGAGGTAATGAAGCGGTGCCCCGAGAGTGTCGTTGAGATTGAGGTACTTGAGGTGGATGGTCAAATATATTTCCACCATTTTTTTTTGTGCTCTTAAACCATGCATTGATGGTTTTTTAGAAGGTTGTAGGCCTCATTTGAGCATAGATGCTATAACACTTAATGGAAGGTGGAATGGTCACTTGGCCGCAGCTGTAGCAGTTGATGGTCACAATTGGATGTATCCACTCGCTTATGGCTTCATAGCTTCTGAAAACACAGACAACTGGACTTGGTTCATGGAACAATTAAAGAAGGCAATAGGTGATCCTCCACTGCTTGATGTTTGTTCTGATGCTTGCAAGGGCTTGGAGAATGCAGTGAAGAATGTATTCCCAAATGCAGAGCAAAGAGAATGCTTTTATCATCTTGTCAGAAATTTTTTAAGAAGAGA